CTTTTGCACACAAAGGACAAACCCATACCCTTACTAAAGTTAGTACGGTACGGAGCCGATTAGTCGACTCTTTGTCCACCAACTTTAGGCAAGGATGTCTGCTCAAGAATAGTGTTTTTGTACTATTCACTGTAGCAAAGGACAACCCTTCCTCTTAAGGATTGATACGCACTATATACCCTACCTTATTGCATTAAATGTTCATTTAATGCACTGGGTATAAATAGAAGTGTTTTTTTTCTCCATGCATGAGAGAATGAACGCGCACATCTCTCTGCTAACCTATTCTTACTTCAAGCCTCTCATTGCTTAAGTAAAAGATCTTTATTTTCTAGCATTATCTTTTCTTGTATTTGCTAAAGATCTATGTGTAACCAAAGGTTGTTTAGATAGGTTTTCTTTACCTTATCTTTTCGCAAACAATCTTGTAAAATCTGTATTGATCTTCTCAATCAATATATATTTTAAATTTGAAAACTCTGTGTTTGTATTCATCCCCCCTTCTACAAACTGTGTCTTGTCTTGTAGACTCTTTCGGGACCAACACATCTGCTAAGTATTGCCATGTTTTTTCCCAAACAAATTCAGGTCTAGATAGACTATTTGATATCAGCATGGTTACAAATAAGAAGCGTAGATAAAAAATAGATGCAGTTAAATTTGCCTCTTCAATGACATCAGTATATTCCTTGTCATCGTCTAAAAGCCCAAGAGCATAACATGCATCTCTAAAAATAAGAAATGTTTTTCCATTTACTATACGAATGTCTTCGAATGATTTAGGACCTTTCACTTTATTCAAAAGAATTCTTAAATAATATCCTTCTCCTACAGTAGNCATTTACTATACGAATGTCTTCGAATGATTTAGGACCTTTCACTTTATTCAAAAGAATTCTTAAATAATATCCTTCTCCTACAGTAGGAGAAACTGAATGAATTTGTCCAATTGAGAACCCTTTTTTCCTTCAATCCCAATGTCGTTCCTCCAATTTCCAACAACAAACTTTGTAGGGAATTCAACGTAAGTGAGTTCTCGTGCTTCTTGATAAATTTGATTACTATGCATCCAAGCAAAAAACATTGAGGACGCCACAGATGGTCTGTTTAGGACATTTTCAATATCATCTTCAGCACTAAACACCACTTGTTGTTGTCCCGGAAGATGGAAAGGAAGTATTAAAACAGAAGGAGTCATGGAATGAACATCGTATCCAAAAATACGCCATGAAGCTTCACATGCAGAAAGGTATCTACAATCATAATATTGCTTTATCTCATCAACAACAGTAATAGTAACCTCATCAATACTGTTTTCTACAATAGCAACAGTAGCTCTATCTGGACCCTTGTTGATATATTTGAACAAATATTTGATTGAAGAAGCATAGTTGCACCACTCAACATTAATGTGTGCTTGATATCTTTTCAACAGTTGTTTGTTATATGGAACGACAATTCTGTTGTCTAGTTTAACACCTGATTTCTCAATCAAACGTCCATCATCTCGTCTGCGGTATACAAGATAACCATTAACATCAATTGAAGTGTGTTCAAAAAAATTCTCCGGGTACTTTTTTGAACACTTTCTATCAATCATGCATGGACAATTAATGTTTTCTTCACCACACGGTCCATGGATCATGAACTCTTTTACAAGTGAGTACAAGTCTGGATCGTTGTTTTTGTCTAGGATCTCAGCTGAGATGATAGGATAAATTTGTTTAACAGTAGGTAGTTTGAAATCACGGTGCATAAACAGACAGATATGACTGTGAGGCAATCCACGCTTTTGAAATTCAATTGTATAAACAACTACAAAAAAGTTACAATTTAAATTAATAAAGATAAGACTAAAGTATGAAGAAATATGTTGATACTGTTATCATAGATTGAACATACCTGCTTGAACTTTGCCAAATAACTCATTGTCTTTCAATTCTTTAATAAGTACATCAAGCTTGATCTTAAATAAACGACAAAGAATGTCAGACCTATCTTCTGGATTTAGCCCGGTGTCCTTAACAAATCTTCTAATTTATGGCCATTTAGGATTGCAAGTAATGGTTAGGAATAAGTCTGGATATCCATACCATTTACAAAGGGACATTGCATCCAAATAATTTTTCATCATGTACCGAGAACCACCGGTGAAAGAAGAAGGTAGTATAAGACGTTGTCCAATGTTTGAAGCATCCGACTCTCCGTGTTCTTGTACATTGCATAAATTATCATATGTCTCGCACCTTGGGACTTTCTGCTGCTTACGTATGTAATGTAATCTCTCACTTTCAATCATTGTGTAACCATCAACAATAAATTGCTATAGAAGCCTCCTTGCATTGAGAAGTAATGAAAACATATTTCTCCTATCTTGAAGTTTGAAGGCGAAAAACTCCCTCATTATTACAGTTGCTCTTTTACTTTTGCATGAAGATGTTACCTCTCTATGGGGAATGTCAACTTTATAACCATCTTCTCCGTATGGAAATAACAACGGATATTGAAGAGGAAGGTAAGAAGGATGTAATTCACTTATTTGTTGTAAATAACCTGTTTAATGTTGTACAATGATATCTCTTTTCTCAATTGTACCACCATCATCTCCAACAATTAAAGCTGCAACCTCTTAAGCAGTTGGAAGGTTATATGTTCTTCCATCCTTTTCTCTTCTTCCAATAAACCATAACTTTAGCTTGACATCAGGGTAGTATTCAAAACAATCTCTTGCAATTCTATAAGACTTCACCAAAACATTTTTTGCATCTAGTATGTTATTTAAATATTGAATAATCTCAATATCAAGGGAGTCAGAATTTAATGAAGAGGCTTCTTTTTGTTCACTAATTAAATCATAACAAATATAAAATCAGACTTACCATTAATATAACCAATACTATGGAATTCAAATAAATTTATTAAGAAATATAACAATAAGGATGAATGTATATTTAAATGAACTGTGTCTATTTGAAACTTCATTCTCCGTATCATATATGTACAGTTGAGAGAATTTTGGTTTCGATCCATCTGGTGGTAGAAGACTGCCCATCCTATGGTAGTTTTGACCGTTAAGCCTGTATATGTATGGTGCATTTCCACTATTAATGGAAGAATCAATTCTGCCACCCATTGACGTAAATGAGAACATTTAATTATAATGTCAAATGTTCTTCATGAAGTATTTGCTTTTCGAGTCCTCACAACATAAAAGATTTACGTAGTTTTCATCCCAGATTTTTTCCCTCTAAGAGCTTCATCTCTCCATAGTTTTGCCTCATAACATTCACAAATAACACTTTTATCACGGTGATCCAAGTACTCTATTTAATAAATTCGAAACCAATAACTAACTGTAAGTGTTAAACAGTTGATTAATTAATAGTTACCTTAAGATATTCCTGCAATTATGTTTGTAATTGTTACTGGATCATCCAATTTTTCATCTGATGTAATGTCAATTATTGGTATATCAGATACATTTACAGTCTTCCTTCGTAATCTATGATGCCCTGTTGATAACCGAACCATAGAAGAAGCTTGCTCTATTGTTGATGAAGGCATTGATAAATTGGCGTTAGAACGTAACCAATAGTGTCTGTTTACATGAAGACTTGTTGTTTGAAATATACAAATTTACGTAATGTAAAACATGTGTTAGAATAGAAAATGTATTGGAATCATTAGTTTAAAAATGAGGTGTATAAGAGATTACACATACCGTTAGAACTATCAGATAATGGATTTGTGATAGTCACATTTGAAGAAGAATGTTCAATGCTTGTATGTTCATATTGTGGATATGTGTTTGAATCCATATTCTCACTATGGTATGGAATATTATTCCTCTGAGATGAAGATCTTAATCGCCTATCAGAATTTGGGATATTATCTGTGAAAAGAAAGAGAAAAGTATAATGAAAAAAAGTGCCTTCAACAGAATTTCTGAACAGATAATATTTGTCTCATTCAAAATCAAATTCAAAATGTTGTTGAATCAGATACCTTCAACATTTGATGATGTAGACTTCAATGACTGTTTACTACTATTCAAAACCATCTTTCTAAATTTTCTCCTTTCTCTAGCATCCATGGAATTTATTTTTTAAAAGATCTGCAAAAAAATTAATCCTTCAATAAGAAACCAGTGCATGAAGTCATTACGTAATAAAACATTAGAATGAACAATCATGAGAAAATGGACTCACTTAGTCAGTTGTTTTAAGCATTCGATTTTTATTGTAGTAGGAAACGGAAGTTGTCTGTGATGACAATAATTTTATAAGAAGCAAATGCTTATGTAGGCGAGGCGGTTATGGAAACCGTAAATTACAGGTCTAAATGCAACGTAAGTTAAGAAACTGCTTGTCAGTTTTTTTTCCCAGATTAGTCTTGCAGAGTTATGTTCCAGACTTCCGAGTCAGAGTTAATGAGCAGTGCATAAAAAAGTTTAAGTGTTTCATGCAGAGTGTCACCCCACACACAGAGTCTTAGATGTATCTAGACATAATTTTCACTTAGGGTTCAAATAGGTCTATTTAAGTGACATGTTTCCCTCTACACGTTTATTTTCCTTTTTTCATGGTTTAACTAATGTTCCAGATGAAGTAGAAATCTCTGATATGTTCTCTGTAGTCACTAAATTTGGAGACATCTTTTCCAGACTTATAAGTCTAAACTTATGTCCCTAAGTCAAAATTCAGAATTGTTTGCCAGACTTATAAGGTATACCAATATAACAGTCTGAGAACAAGTCTGAACTCCTTTTCCCCAGTTAAAATTCAGAGTTGTCTTCGATATTTATATGACTACATTGATCAACGAATAAATCCCATTACACTTAAATGACATTAGTGATACAAACCACCAACATGAAAGGCATTAGATATTTGTTATTTCTCAGACTAACAACATAACTCTAAGTTATTCAATTCCAAATTTATTTCTGTAGTTTATTCCCAAATTTTGAATGCAACTCTGAACTCCTCTTAAGAGTTACTTTTCTGAGTTATAAGAAGTCAGAATTCTTGTGCTTCAGAGTTATGCTCATAGATACTTCCTAGATTTAGAAAGCAACTCTGAATTCCTTTCATTCAGAGTTAAGTCCATAGTTATTTTCCAGACTAACACCAGAACTCTGATTTCTTGTGTTTCAAAGTTAATGTTCAAAGTTTTCTTTTAGATCTGAGAAAAAATTTCAACTCATTTTCCTCATTTAAAATACCCCGTGTAATATACGAGTCAACCTTTTCGTGACCCATATATTTTTTGTAAAAAAAACATCGTATACAATTGATCGAAAAACAAAATAAAAGTAATCAGCCAAACCAATAAATCTTAATCAAAAGTATGCATTAAGACGATACTAATGAATTAAGACAATACTATTCAATTAAATGTCTTCAAGAGTAATACCACTTCTAAAAAGTCAAATTTCCATACTTTTTTAGGAGACTATATTTCTCATAACCTTACACCAAAATCTCTTGGAGGTTAAACATGGCTCCAACAACTAACTAAAACAAGTTCGACCCATTTTAGAAAAACCATGAATCTAAAGTACTATCTGAAATATCTTGAAAGTAGTTCTCTATTTCTAAAGTTGAGGGGGATCGAAATCCAATATCAGGAATGAAGTCATCAACAAATTGTATAAAATGGAACTTCATCACCAAATTGTATCAGGTCGAATGATTGGAAATCAAAAGGTGGTGCATTCCCAAATGGAAGGTTGTGCGACTCTATGCTGGAATCATGGTCGGACATCCATGTAACATTCACCGGCGGTGGGTTTTCCAAAACCAGCGGCATGACAAAGTTTGTAATAGCACCAGGACCACGAAGTTTAATGGCGGCATTATCATACACCCTAGCATCCTCCTCCGCGGTATCATACGTCCCCAACCACAACCGAACACGTGTAGCCGGCTCCTTACAAGTCTTGGACTTAGTGACTTTTCTTGGCCAGAAAACTTCTCTGTCATCGCCGGAACATCCAACGTTATTACCCTTTTGTGCTTCGTTTGTTTGATCGGAGGTAACATGAAGCAGTCCTCCATGTCTCTCTGGTTTGTGGTAGCAAAGGAACAGAGAATTCCAAAAGTCGAAAGTGGATGAGAAGTGAGAAGTAAAAATTTTATTTCTTCAATAACCGGATTTGAAAAGACTATAAATTTATTTAAAGCTTTAGGAGGTCATTTCAAACGTCACTTTTTAAAATCTATTTTTATAATCTATACTATATGTGCTTTTACGATTTCCAATATATTTTTACACTACACCCGAGTCTCCTTTTTTTTGCCTATCTGCAGATTAAACTTAGATGAACCAATATTAGGGTTTAAAGGAAAAAAGAAGACGAAGTCAATGGTCTATTCAGAGAAGAAAACAAGTAGTGGTTTGTGAGGGATATTGCCTGGTTCGATGCACTCATTCTCTTTCTTATGATTTTGAAAAGAAGGGTGATTGCATCGGACCAGGCTTCATTCCTTTTCAAACCTTTTTGTAATAATCAGATGGATAATAAGGTATTAGCGGAGAAGTTACTATGAGTATATACAATGTTTAATGTTTATATGTTCTTCATTTCTATAACTCTGTGCAACTTTCCTTTTTAGTGTACTTTTGAATAGGTTTGATTGACTGGGTTTTAGAAACCGAAGGAAAGGGCTATGTAATTTGTTAATAGTACTTTCAATATATTCATCTTATTTTGGAACACATTTTACATATGACCTTGTTTTTATGCATAAAGATTTAAAAGTGTTATACGATGTCCATTCAAATTCCATACTCATATGCATCCTTCAAAACCTTTCATCATTCGATTCTTCATAGCCTTTTTCGCACAAACAGTGTTTTGCTGAATCTTGTTTGGATTTGCAATTAGTACTTGTATTATCTTCATGTTCAGATAGCATACTTTACTTATAAGGAAAACCTAAAGGTAATATAAATGATATATTTAAATTAATTTATAAAATTATCACTTAAAATAACCTATGTCGTTACCATGTTATGCAAAGGATGCGGTTTCATGTTCAAGTATGGAATTCAGACTATTAACTATTAAATGTAGAAGACCAGAAATAATAAGTACATGGAAAACCATATTGCATATGTCAACTTTGTACATTAACATATTTACAAGCCCTGAAAACTATGAAAACCAATGTCATAACAGAGTTTTAAGTTGGAGAAAAAGTATTGGAGTTTTATTCTAAGGCTGACAAATTACTACACAATATAACTCTGCAAAATTTAAAGCCGTGGGTTTTCGTTGAAAGAAATATTTCAACAATCTGCTAAGCCTGATGAATGAGAGACAATTCGTGGAAGGTTAATTTTTTACAGTTCTATAGTAACTATGTGAAATGAACTTGAGAAAACATTTGGAATGTAAAAAATCACAATTGTATATTAACAGAGTTAAGGACATGAAAAACTCTGCAAATCAACATCACAGCAGTGTCACAAATTTGGAAAAAAAGTATGAGAATTGTTTTTGTAAGTGAAGTAAAATATCATGATTGTTATTCCATTAAAGTTGTAGTTATGCGTTGCATTATACGATTACAAGTCTGTTTAAAGTCTGAAGAAACCGTTCATTACGCAATGGTTTGTACTAACTATCTAAAATGAGTTTTTAGAAAACATTTGAGGGATAGCAAATTAGAATTCATACATTTCCATTGGTGCAGCAGAACGACTGCATGTATGATTAGTAACATTTGTATTGTAGTTCAGACTGAGACATCTTGAAAGTAAGATTTCAGAATTGGGTTGAGAGAACTCTATACAATGACACTCCAGACTTACACTGTAGAATTTAAATCCAAATATGAAGTTTGTTTAGTAGTACTTTGGAGCCGTGTTACATGGTTTAAATTTTAATGCACATTATACTTCTATCAAACAACATACAAAAGTTATTGTATAAGTCTGGAATCAAACATATCAGAGTTATCTTCCAAGTCTTAGATTTAACTTCCAAGTGTTCATAGGCTTAATACAAGAGTTGTACTTTGAAATTACTCTGAATGTAAACTTTTTACACTTCAGAGATATGTCTAGAGAATTCAGAAGCTCCACATGCAGCTTGCAGAAGCTCTGCATGCGGCATGCAGACGCTCTGCATGCAACATGCAGAAGCTCTGCATGCAGCATGTAGAAGTCGGGGGATAAATTAATCAAGGCGAAGAAGGATGCATAATACTCCCTTCTCAATGCGTACTTCTAAGAAGAATGTTCTCATTAAAGCTTATGATTGCTATAACAACATAATTATGTAGTTATGATAAACTCTTTAATACTAAATGCAAAACAAATAATAATTAAAAAAAATAGCATAATATAATCATCAACTAAAAAATAAATGTTCAAATCAAAATTCAACCACAAAAGAAATACCAAATGTAACAACCCATATAGTCCATGTACAGATAATTCACATCATCATACTCATAATACTAAAAATAGTATTGTTACAAAACATGGACTAATAAAATCTTTCTTTAATACATATATGAGTAAACAAAATGCCATCAACACTAAACTTTTCCCTTTCCTTTATTCTGTGAGGTATGATAATCTGCAAAACCGATTAGTCCAACAACTGAGTGTTAGACCAAGGTCTAATGAGTGTATAAATCTCAAACAAACAACATACATTCTAAACAATCAGTTCAGAATCAAACCTGTTCTGATACATAAACATATTTATGTCTCTCGCGGTTACACCGCCATTAGATCTCTCTCGCGGTTACACCGTCATTTCATCTCTCTTGCGGTTACACCGCCATTTCATCTCTCTCGCGGTTACACCGCCATTACATCTCTCTCGCGGTTACACCGCCATTACATCTCTCTCACGGTTACACC